CTTCAGGTCTCATCATCATCTTCCTCTCTTCCCACCAAGGTCTTCTCTGCTTCTTCAGCCTCCCCATCATTCTTTGCTGTCACCCAACCCTTTCAGGCCTCTTTGCCTCATTCTCTCCATGCAACACAGTCCTCCTAATTAAACCTAAGCCCACCACATGGAAGCATAATCACTTTATGAAGATGGATGGAAATTGTACCCACAGAGGGAGATGACTGGTAGCCTAGTTATAGCCTGTTTATCTTCACGAGTGTCTGTTGGGTGTCACGGCTCCACCCCACTTGAACCTCTGGGCCACCTCGCCTGGCTGCTGTCTCTCTCCACATTGTTCTTACATGAGTCCTTTTGTTGTTGTTGTTGAGCCTTAACCACTGGACTGCCAAGGAAGTCCCCACATGAGTCTTTTTTCTTTTTTTAAGAGCGATTTATTTATTTATGGCTATGCTGGGTCTTCATTGCTGCATATGGGCTTTTTCTAGTTGTGACAAGTGGGGGCTACTCTTCCTTGCAGTGCACAGGCTTCTCACTATGGTAGCTTCTCTTGTTGAGAAGCACAGGCTCTAGGCACATGGTTTTCGCTAATTATAGCTCTAGGGCTCAGTAGTTATGGCACGTGGTCTTAGTTGCTCTGCCGCATGTGGGATCTTCCTGAAGCAGGGATCGAACCTTTGTCCCCTGCATTGGCAAGCGGTTTCTTGACCATTGTGTCACCAGGAAGTCCCCCACGAGTCCTTTTAAACTGGCTCCTTAGGGTCATCCTGAGAGTGGTCTTTGAGTAGCCCTAGATGGTTGGATGGCATCAACAGACTCAATGGACATGGGTTTGGGTGAACTCCAGGAGTTGGTGGTGGACAAGGAGGCCTGGTGTGCTGCAGTTTGTGGGGTCACAAAGAGTCGGACATGACTGAGTGACTGAACTGAACTGAACTGAAGACACTAAAGGGTATTATGGGTATTTTGGGGGTATTATCCAGGTTTCATGCCTGCATCCCTGGACTAAACTTTTTTTCTGGACCCCAGGCCATCATGTTTGTTCATTGGTTCACTTGTTTATCCATTCACTTATGCATGCTTCAAATATTTATCCAGTTTTGATTCTTTGCTAACTGCTGTGCCAGACACTTGTATGATCTTACCAAGATCAGTGAGATCTAGCCTCTCCTCAAGGAGCAGGCCATCTAGAAGAAGGAGACAGACTTGTAATGAAGTGTCTAGGGAGGATGATGTGCTGTGGGGGAGGGCATGGGGCGGGGTACAGTGGAGAAACAGAGAATTCATTACATGTCATGTGATGTGGCAAAAAAGAATAAAAAAAAAGGTGGGACCCAGAGAAATGCATAGGAACTTAGGAACGCTGACAATATTAAACTTTTTTACTTTCCTTCCCGGGGTGCCTGTTAAGCCTAAGATGTCACACCTGGGACCAGACAAACCTGCCCCTCAGAGCCGGTAGCTAACACTCTGGAACCACAGAACAAGCAGTTTGGCAGCTCTCAAACCTTCTTGGAGCCCGCTCCTCACTCACCAGGCAACAGGTGTGTACACTGAAGGTATCTTTAGCTTCTAATATAATTTTTCAATTTAATGTTTGAATAATCCATACATTTACTTGGCTCAGATATCCAAAAATGCCAAAGGTAAAGAGAGAAGTTCCTTTCCTGTTCCATCATTTTCTCATCCCCTGCCACAACTGATCACTCTTTCTAGTTTTTTTCAAATCTTCCCAGTTGCTTTATGCACAAATAAACAAATCGGAAAGTAAATTCTTTTTTTATTCTTTCAGCTGTGCCCCACGGCATGTGGGATCTTAGTTCCCTGACCAGGAATGGAACCTGGGCCCCCTGCATTGGGAGGGGGAAGTCCTAATAACTGGACAGCCAGGGAAGTGTCCTGGAAAGTAAATTCTTATTCCCCCACTTTCGACACAAATTGTATTATCGGACATCCAGCGTTCTACACCTTGCCTTTGCCCATTGGCCATTAGGTCTTGCTGACTTTCCGGGTCAGTTTGCAGGTCCTTCCTTGTTCTTTGCACAGCTGCGTGATATTCTCTGCATCGCTTGTAGGGTTTTCCTGATTCTTGGTTTTTAGGAATAATAGTGCAATTGTATAACATATGTTGATGCCCCAACATGCAAGCATATCTGTCAGATACATTTCTAGAATTTCTGGGTCCAAGTGGACATTTTGATAATGTCAAATTTCCCTTCCTATTTTTTTTTTTAATATTTATTTGGCTTCACTGAATCATAGTAGCAGTGTGAAGGATCTTTAATCTTTGTTGAGGCATGTGGGAACTATTTCTCTGACCAGGGATTGAACCCATGCCCCCTCCATTGGGAGTCTTAACCACTGAACCACCAGGGAAGTTTCCTTCCTAGGGGTTTTATCAATATACCTTCCCACTGACTCCACCTGGGCTTCCCAAGTGGCACAGTGGTAAAGAATCTGCCTGCCAATGTGGGAGACACAGGTTTGATCCCTGGGTGGGGAAGATCCCCTGAAGTAGGAAATAACAACCGACTCCAATATTCTTGCCTGGAAAATTCCATGGACAGAGGAGCCTGGTGGGCTACGAGGATCGCAGAATCAGACACGACTGAGCACGCACACACACAAGCATACCAGCCTCGCCTCTGTCCCTCAGCTTTGGCATCAGAGTGGGTTTTGAAACTTTTAGGGTTTGACAATTGAGTAGGTGAAAATTGAGATGCCAAGCAGAATTATAATTTGCATTCCTTTCACAAATGTGGCTGAGTAAATGTTTAAGAGCCGTTCAAATCTGAGTTTTTGGACCATTTTTTTTTCATCTAAAATGAACAATCCTAGAAGTCCAAGCTCAGCACTTTCCACATGTATCTGCAATTTGTCTTAAATTTTTGAGAAAATATAGACCTTTATTTTAAAAAAAACAACACAGCTTTTGACATTCTTTGAAAATGAAAGAAGTTCCATCTATAAGTCACCGCTGAACAGTATGGAAATGCTAGAGGTATTTTGCAATTAACTTTTCGGCAAACACAATAGAGTCTGCAAAGACTTAAAATCAGGTCCCCAGAAATTCATGACACTGTTACAAGCAGCCTGGCTGTAATTAAAACGGATTCACTAGAGTCTTTGTAAATATAACATTTTATTTCCTGTAATAAATATTTCCCCATGAATTCACCTGGACTTCCCCCAATAGCACCTGTGTTCTCTTGACTTGAAAATACCAGAAGAAAGCCCAGAGGTGCTTTAGATCAACTCTCCCTGTGCCCGGACACCTCCTGCAGTGTGGACCCCCTCCCCTAATGGCCCGCAAATGACCACCTTACAGACGGGCTTTTAGGAACTAGGTGAGCGGCAGGGTGGGCTTCCTGGCTGTCTCAGTGGTAGAGTCTTCCTGCCGACACTGTAGGTTCAGGTTCGATCCCTGGGTCAGGAAGACTCCCTGGAGAAGCAAATGGCAACCCACTCCAATATTCTTGCTTGGAGAATCCCATGGACAGAGGAGCCTGGTGGGCTACAGTCCACGGGGGTTGCAAAAGAGTTGGACATGACTGAGCCACCAGACAAGAGGCAGTGCTCTCTGTCTTTGCCCACGTGTAGCAGCTCCGCCGAGGCGTGTGTTGTGGAGGGCATGGCTGCTGCAACAGCTGGGTTGCCAGAAACCACCCATTCAAGAGAGCTTGAGGTTTTGCTGTTTTTAACCCTAAAATTAAGATGATGGCCCATTGATTTGTGGGCCTTAATAAACAGGAAATAGCTGTTCCCAAATGGCTCACTCCCCAGATAAGGCCCAACCTGAGCCTTTTCTAGTGTCCTCCTCAAGGAGCCCCAGCTCAGGTGGGGTGCCCAGGTGACGTGACCTTGGCCAGCAGCTGATAGCAGCTGGGTTCCGTGTTCACTGAGATAGAAGCGTCCCTGCCAAGCACAGCTGTTTTCCTCCCCACCCTTCCTCACCCAGCCCAGCCTGGGAATCCACCCCAGGAACTGGCCTGGCTGGTGTGGCCTCTAATGAGTGGTTGGTCACAGGCTGGGCGGGAGGTGGGAGCCCCCAGGGGCTCATGTGCCCACATAGTTCTCAGCTGACTCAGGTCCCAGCCATCAGGCCTCTCCCGCACTGCCCACCTGGAAGGCCATCCTTGAAAACCCCAGGACTCAAAACCTGGGCCACTGTCGGGCTGAGGGGCTTGGGGAGCCCCTAGCTCTGTCTGTGGGCCATTCCACTGGCCTCCACCTCTGTCACCCTGATTCCCAACGTGGCCTCAGCTCCCCTTCTCTGTCCCTTCTCCCAGGCATTCTGGGCCTCAGCCCCGGAGCTCAACCTCTCCCTTAGGGAAGACCTTCCAGACTGGTGGTTCCAGGGGTAGGAAGGCGCGCACCCAACTCGGGGGGTCAGGGACAGGGTGGGGGGATGGTGCTGAGATTCTGGGGAATACATGCGCCTTGGTCCCTGTGCCACCGCATCCCGTCTACTTGCTCCTGGGAGCATGCCGGGGACCCTGGCCCGCAGTTCTGACCTGGAGGGGTCTCACTCGTGGACCCCTCCAGCAGAGGTGCCCCCAGTCGGAGTCCCACCTGGCCTTGGGTAGGTCACCTGGCAGATGGGGACACCCACAGGTGAGGCAGCTACCCACCCCACCCCCAGCCTCGCTGGGTTCTAGCCTAGAGGAGGGACGCGTATTTGCTGAGGTGTACCCCTGCTGTGGTTTCTGAGGAGGGGCGTCCATCACACTTCCTCCCTGGCCTGGAACCTGGAGTTTCCTTCTCAGCTTAGAGTTCCCCTGCCCCACCCAAGCTCTTGCCTCAGAGGTCCTGCCTCCTGGTCCTTTCTGATCCCTGCTGGGAGCAAAGAGCCAGGTGACGCCAGTCAGCACCCTAACACCCCATCTCTGCCCCGGGCTGCCCCTGAGGCTCCGCTGGCCCAGGGCTGCACTGGGCCCCTCCCAGGCCACGGCCAACCTGGCTGTGCGAGCGGGCACCTTCCAGCGGGGCTCTCCGACTGGTGCCCCCACTCATGCCTGCTTTCTCACCAGCAGCACCCAGGGGAGGATGGCGGCCACCACAGCCACCACGGCGATGAGGGTGATGAGCAGCAGGGCCCGGGAGCGGCAGCAGAAGGACCGGGTGGAGCTGGGCGCCGGGGAGGCCCCGGAGAGCTCTGCCAGACTGCGCCGCGGCAGGACGCTGTCCTGCTCTCCGAGGGGCATCCCATGGCGGCTGATGATGAAGATCTGTGGCTCCCGGGGCAGGCTGGGCTGTGGGTCCAAGGGCAGCTGGCCACCCTGGCCCGGGGACGATCTCCAGATGGGCTGGGAGAGGGCCAGGGGGTTGGTGTGGCCCAGGGTGTCCGGCAGTGGTGTTGGGGGCAGGCCCACAGGCACGGCCAGGATCTGGGAGCTCTTGTCCAGCTTGGCGGGCCAGCGGGAGCTCTTCCTGCTGAGGAAGGTGACATAGCGGCAGACGGGGCAGATGATGGTCCTCTGGACTTGGCCGTCCACTCGCGTGGACAGGAGGTACTTGACCAGGCAGTCATGGCAGAACACGTGGCCACAGCTCAGCGTCCGGCTGGCGCCCTGCAGCTCTCGGAACTTCTCGTAGCACACGGGGCACTCACTGCCCGAGCTGTCCTTGCTCTCGCCCTCAGACATGGCCGAGCAGGAGGGCAGGGCCCTGGCTGTGGGTGGGAAGGGTTGAGCATCAGTGCCTTTTCCGGCCTGGTTCCCCTGCCTGCCTCACTGCTGCCGCTCTTCCTCAGGGACCTCCCCAAATCACACCAGGACCCTGGGGAGGGGATGAGAGGGTACTTCTGGAAGGGGAGTTGGGGGACTGACAAGCAGAGATCCCAGCCACGCCCCACTGGAAGGAGGTGGGCGGAGGCCAAGGTGTAGCCCCCTGATCCCTCACCACCACAAGCAGAGATCCCAGCCACCCCCAACTGGAAGGAGGTGGGCGGACGCCAAGGTGTAGCCCCCTGATCCCTCACCACCACATGTGCGTCGCCTGTGGTCACCCCTCCCCTCTCCCTGGTCCCAAGCCCCCAGTGGAGGCAGGAGGACCCGTTCCCCGGGGGAGGCAGGTGGCTCAGCTGAGGTTCCCCCCACCCCGCACAGTCCAGGCTCCAGTGGGGGCCATGTGTTGAGCCCATTGTGACTGTTCTCCCAGAAAGCCTCTGCTGCCCCTCCATCTCCCCGCTCAGGTTGGCTGACCCATACAACTGTCCTCAGCCCCTGGCTCCCATCCCCCTATGCTAAGTGCAGCTGGAAAGCAATGAGGGATTTGAGGATAAAACTCAAAACTTACACATCCAAATGCTGGCTGGCCAGCCGTGCAGTCACGTCAGGGAGCTGTGGGCTCCTTCCTCCGCCCACCACAGCTCAGTCATCCTTCAGATTCTTCTTGGCAGCCTGCCCAAGGTTGTGAGAGAATCTTCCGATCAACCTCTGTGAAGGCAGGTTTTCATCCCTTGAGGATACGTCTGGTATTTGGAAACGGCCAAAGGTCACCCAGTGCCCAGTCTGGTAAGAGCAAATGAATGCCCAAGTGGCATGAGATTATTTTAAATCAAAGAGACAGAGTCACCATGAAGTGACAGGTGGGTTTCAGATGTTATCTGAGAGCTAAAGAGAGGCTCCAAGCATGCTCTCAGCAGTAGCAGTGTTGTTGGATTAAGTGCAGTTCCCCAAGGTGATGATTTGACAGGAAGCCCCTGTTTGAGTGTGTGACGCAGGGCCAGTGTTCTCACTCCTCCACGCGTTCCCAGCAGCTATGTCATCTAAGTTCATTTCCAGCAGCCTGTTTATTTATTTATCTATTTATTGGCCTCACCAGGCAGCGTGTGGGATCTTACTTCCCTGGCCAGGGGTGGAACCCATGTCCCTGCACTGGGAGTATGGAATCTTAACCGCTGGATCGCCAGTGAAGTCCTAGAACAGCCTCTTTAGAAGGACTGTGAGCAAATGGTCACGTGATCGCATCGTCCTTCTGAGGGGTTGCTGATATGATATATTCTTCCATCAAACCCCCCTGGACACGCTGAGAGCTAGAATGGTGTGTGGGAGCCCCCAAACCCGAGAGGTGACATTGTCGTTGTTGTTTAGTCCCTCAGTCGTGTCTGACTTTTGTGACCCCATAGACTGTAGCTTGCCGGGCTTCTCTGTCCATGGGATGCTCCAGGCAAGAATACTGGAGTGGGTTGCCATTTCCTTCTCCAGGGGATCTTCCCGACCCAGGGATTGAACCCACGTCTCCTGCATAGCAGGCGGATTCTTTCCTGCTGAGCCACTGAGAAATGACATAGTGGGAACAAAACTAGTTAATGGGAGAGGACAGACGAGAATTGGTTCAATCACAGATCTTTTGGACGCTCTTTCCTCTTAGCTTGGTTCCAAGCCCATTTTGCCAAGTTGAAAATACCCCATAACCAACAAAGAGCAAAAACATGTAGAGGTGGGGGTAGGGGACCGGGGACCCTGGTGGCAGCACCAAAGCCTTTGCAGGTGTTTTCAAACCTCGATCTCCGAGGTGGTCAGTGTGGCCTCCAGGCCAGGGGAGGGGGTGCAAGTACTCAGACCCTGAAGCTGGCTTCAAATCCTTGATATGCCCACTATTGTCTGCATAACCTATCTGAGCCTCAGATTCCCATCTCTCAGGTGGGGTTGATAATAATAGTACTGGCTTCTTCTCAGAGTTGTCCAGAGTGTTAAGTGAGCTGCCTTGAATGAAAAGTCTGGCACATAGTAAATACTCAATAAATGACTGTTGTTGTTCAGTCACTAAGAAGTGTCCAACTCTTTGCAACCCCATGGACTGCAACACACCAGGCTTCCCTGGCCTTCACTATGCATGGCAGACTCATGCCCGTTGAATCAGTGATGCCATCCAACCATCTCATTCTCTGTTGCCCCCCTTTCCTGCCCTGAATCTTTCCTAGCATCAGGGTCTTTTTCCAGTGAGTCAGCTCTTCACATCAGGTGGCCAAATATTGGAGCTTCAGCGTCAGTTCTTCTGAATACTCAGGGTTGATCTCCTTTAGGATGGACTGGTTGGATCTCCTTGCAGTCCAAGGGACTCTCAAGAGTCTTCTCCAACACCACAATTCTAAAGCATCAATTCTTTGGCACTGGATGTTGTCAGTCAGGCTCAGTCCTTTCTCCTCCTAGCACTTGCCTTCCCTCTCCTCCCCAGGTGTTTCTTATCATGTAGATGACTAAAAACACTCACGCCCCTGACCATGGGCAGCTCCCCTGGAATCCGAATAACAACCAGAAAAGATGACAAAGGAGTGGGTAAGTGAGGGGCGGTAGGTTATTAAGTTGGTGGTTCCAGTGTCACAGACATTTTTGTTTCATAACATACTTGCAGCTGTCTAAACTGAGGTTTTTCTCGGGATGACCTTGATTTTCTTAAGCTGACCAGCTGCTAACATGGCCCTCTGCGTTTCATAACTCCCCAGAGGCATACGGTGGCAATTCCATCCGTCCACCCACCCATCCATCCATCCATCCATCCATCCATGTATCCAGTTATTCAACAGTTATCTATTGAGTGTTGCTGCAGGCTAGGTACTGATCCGGACATTGGAAATAAGCAGTGATTAAGAAAACCCTTCAAGGGTGTTCCCTGGTGGTTAGGATTGAATTCCGGGCTCTCATTGCCATGGGTTTGATTGCTGATCAGGGAACTGAGATCATGCAAGCATGGCATGGGGGAGAAATACCCTTCATGAAGCTTTTAGAGTCTAGTGGACATTTATAAATTTCTTGAAGAGAGTTTTTTTTTTTTAAAGGAGGAATGATGATCAATACCCTAAGTTATTTGGATAACTGAGAAGTGAGGTATCAAGACAGACAAGAGAACAGAGCAAATAGATTCGAGAATGCTGGAGGGGAAAGGATGTTGGAGGTCATTTGGTAAAATCAAGTGTTATAGATGAAAAGACCCGAGTCCAGAGAATGGAAGTGACTTGTCTGAGGTCACCTTGGGTAGGGGTTGGAGAGGCAGATGGGAGGGGGGAGATATTCATTGATTTCCTAGACAGTGTAGAAAATATTTGAATCAGTTGCTAGATTGGGTGAGTAGATATTAGCTGTGGCAGGAAGCACTGTCCTCCTTGGGTTGAGCAGGGGAGCAGAGAGAACTGAGTTTGAGAAAAATTAGGACGCGGGGGATGCAGATGACATCCCAGATCCCTGCTGATGGCCTCCTGTGCAGTCCCTTCCCACCCTGTGCTTTGGGAGAGCCTTGTCCTTCAAGGCTACCCGTCCTCCATCCCTACCTTCTCGCCTTCCATGCTCAATCCCTCCCTTTCTCTTCATACCATTTCATTCTCCATCCTTGAGTTCTTCTTCCGAACCTGACTCTGTCTCAGGTGCTGGGGAGAGGGCAGCAGAAGAAATCTGAGGAACACACTCTGATTGGGGCACAGACTAGCTAAATGAAAGGGAAGACATTATATCCAAAGGCATCCCCGTTGGTGCTTCAGGAAATTTGGGGGAGAGGAGGGCTGGAAGGTCTTCCTAGGTGAGGTGAGACCAGTGTCGAGCTAATAATAAATAATTACAACAGCGGCTATTTATTGAACACTAATTATATGCTTGGCATTCTGCATCCCTTCCTCATTTCATCATCAACAGCTCCAGGAGGTAGATATTATCTCTGTTTTACAGACCAGGGAACCAAGGCTTAAGTCACTTTGTTCAAAGCCAGGCTGCTGGGACTTCCCTAGTGGTCTAGTGGCTAGGAGTCCGGGCTCCCAATGCAGGGGGGCTGGGTTCAACCCCTGCTCAGGGAACTAGATCCCTCATGCTGTGACTAAGACCCAACGAAGCCAAATACATTTTTTTTTTAAAAGAAAGAATAAACAGTATATAATGGGAATTAAAAAAAAAAAGTCCAGGGCAGATCCAGGATTCGAGGCCAGGTCAGCCTGGCTACACAGGCCATACTGTGAACCACCCCCTCCACCAAGAATGTGCATCCATGGAGGGCGTTCCAGACCTCGAGTGAAGAAGTAGGTGAAGAATTGAGAGCAAGATAGGATTACTAGGAGGTCCCAGCCCTTGTGCCGCTACAGAAACACTGATGTAACAACCAAGGACAAAAATGCCCCCTGAAAACTCCAGAATCCAGCTGTATATGTTAAATATGTACATCTTGTTGGATGTCAATCACAGCTCAATAAAGTTTTTTTTTTTTTTTAAAGAATGATGAGGAAACCTGTATGGGAAAGTGATCCCCCCCAAACTTCCCTCCTGAAAGTGACTGTAACTGGAGCTGCCCCTCCAGCTATGAGAGAGGCAGGGGGAGGGGGAGGGCCGGCCCGAGGGGAGCCGACCTCATGAAGCCCCAGTGCCTGGCTTCACCCACAGCAGCAGCCCACCCATCTCGAGGACTGGTGGGGGGTGTCACCAGCCCAGGTGACCCCCACCTCCCCACCTTCGGACAGTGAGTCTATGAGGCGGGGTGACACTTGTGGGCACCTAGGTTTCTGTCCTGGATTCCCAAGGCTTTGTAACTTCAGCGCGCGCACACACACACACACACACACACACACTCACAAACTGCATCAGTGCAGAACTCCGCCAAGCTCCTTCCCCGCCCCCAGCCCGGCCCCCAGACTCACTTTGGCTGGGACCAGGGCTAGCAGCATCTGCCTCTCCGCCCGCGGGCCTCCACAGAGCAGATCTGAGCCACCCAGAAGCGCTGGGCGGGCGGCACGTCCTCCTGCTGCTGTTACTGTGACAGCCGCCGCCGCGGAGGCATTTGCTAATGACTGAGCAGGTCTAGAGGCCAGCGCCGGGAAGCGAATGTTGCCCAACCCGTTTGAGGCCAGGAGGCTTTGGCGTTCCCCAGGGGTTTGGCCCCTGTTGGAGTCAGGTGATCTTGATGAAGATGCTCAGAGAGGAGGGTTCCCCCGCCCAAGGAGGACTCCAGGGATGGGCGCTGAGACAAGCAGAGGGTCTCAGTATGGGGGCAGCGGCCCAGGACCCATCCCCGGAGATGAGCCCCCACCTCCCTCCGATAATGAGAGGGTCGTAGTCCTTCGGCCTCCAGAGCTCATTCGGTGATCCGCTCGTTGCTTCCTGCCCCTGCCGTGACAGGGTGAAGGGCTCAGATCAGCCTCAGTAACTCTTTGCCACCCAAAGTCATACACAGATGTTTGGGCGATGTGCTTATATACACTTGTCCTTCCTCTCACACTCAGAGGGGCTCAGAGCTCCAAAGATCAAACACCACAGAGATAAAGAAGGAGGCAGAATAAAGCCAATAAAGGAGAACCGTCCCTGATACCACGTGAAACAGAAGTAAGTTTCAGAACAGTCTGTGTGACTCTATTTATGGAAATGATAATATATGATCGTTTTTATAGAGGAAAAATCTGGAAGTAGACACATCCAACTTGTTAGTGGTTATCACTAGAGAAACTTTCTGACTCATACATTCCTGTGATCCTTAAATGTATATTTCTTTCATGATCAGAAAAAAAAATAGTCAAGAATAAGGCAGGAGTGTAAGGGAATAAGGGACTTTCTTGGTGGTCCAGTGGTTAAGAACCTGCCTTGAAATGCAGACTGGGGGCTTCCCTGGCTGTCCAGTGGTTAGGACTCCGGGCTCTCACTGCCAGGGGCCCATTTTCAGTCCTTGGTGGGGGAGCTAAGATGTCACAAGCTGTGCCATGAGGCCAAGAAGAAAAAGAGATTATATTACCTACTCTATAGGATGGTGATGATGATTAAATAAACGGATACAAATAATGTGCCTGAACCTGCAAAATGGGAGGAAATATTTGCAAATGCTATGACTGATAAGGGATTAATATGCAACATATGTAAACAGCTCATACAACCCAACATCACACACACACACACACAAAACCCGATTAGAAAAGGGGCAGAAGAACTGAACATTTTTCCGAAGAAGAAATGCAAGTTGGCCAACAGGCACAAAAAAAAGATGTCCAGCATCAATAATCATCAGGGAAATGCAAATCAAGTGTCCGCTCAGCCCATGGCAGGCTGCCCTGCTTGGCTCCAGGCAGCTCAGGGGCTGTCTGGGAGTTTCAGTTCATTCCTGCCCCTGTGAGTTTCCTGGACTCACCCTGCTTTCGCCAGGCTGCCCACACCTCTGAAATCTCAGTCTTACCTGTTCTCTATGGCTGACCTCCTGGCTCTCCTTCCATTTTTACGTAGCCTGGGGCTTCTGGTACTCAGGGGAACCTGGGGCCTTTGAGCAGAAAACAGACCCTGCCAGGGCACCCGGCTTGGAAGGTGGACAGGGGCTGCTTTCATTCCCAACTCCCCCCGCCCCCCCACCGCCCCTGCCTTGGCCCTCAGCCCGCTCCGTCCAACCTACACTGCGGCAGCCACCGAGCATCTTCACAGGTGTTCCTCCTCATCCGTTTCCTCCCTCTAGAGACTTCCGTGGCTCCCCACTGCCCTCGGTACAAGGCCCACCCTCCTCAGTCTGCACCTGAGGCCCACACTGCCTTTCCTACATGGTTTCAGGACAGCCCCCTTGCCCTGGGCCATCTCAAGCCACACAGCATGGCCGCAGTGCTGTCTTCTAGTTCAGATCCCTTGAGGCCTTGAGCTTCTGGGGCTCTGTGATTTTTTTTTTTCCTGGCTGCAATGCCTTTCTTCCTCATCACTTCCCCTGGCATCTTTAAGACCTTGAAGGAGGGATTCCTAACTCATCTCTGTTGACAAGACACAGAGTCTTGTGTCTGTCAATAGTGTTTAATAAGTCAGTGTGAAATGAATAAATCCAACTTCTCAAGCCTAGCTTATGTGCATGAGGTGTGTGTGTGTGTGTGTGTGTGTGTGTGTGTGCCTGCACACGAGCGTGTGAAGTTTAGGTAATGAAGTCATTCTACCTTCTATTCTTTTTTTAAATAGTTTTATATATTTATTGGGTCTTCCTTGCTGCCTGGGCTTTTTGCACAGAGTGGGGGCTGCTCTAGTTGCCGTGCTCGGGCTTCTTGTTGCTGTGGCTTCTCTCGTTGCAGAGCACAGGCTCTAGAGCACAGGTTCAATAGTTGTGGTGCACCGGCTTGAGCTTAGTAGCTTCATGGCATGTGGGATCTTCCTGGACCAGGGATTGAACCAATATCTCCTGCATTGGCAGGCCGATTCTTTACCACTGAGCCACAGGGAAGCCCCTACCTTCTATTCTAATGGCTTTTGGAATCCACACCAAAATTCTCCCCATCCCCTCAAGTCATAATAGATTGAGAACTTCTGGTCTGGCTGGAGATGGGAGGATGAGCCCACCACTGGGTTAGAGCCTCACTTAGCCACTGTACACCAATGTTGTCTTTGAAAAAGCCTGATCTCTAGCAGATTCTCCAGGAGGTGAGTCTGGGAAGGGGAGGGAAGATGGGCTAGGAAAGGAGGAGGGATAAGTGATGAAATCTGAGTCTTTTAAAGAAGAAATCCCCCAGGGAAAACTTAATCTAATGGTTTGTCTTCGTAATTTTTGCCACATCAAAGTATTGCATGTACAACTGTTAATTTTTCTTAAAAGAAAAATGAAAATAACAAATAGGAGCCATATTTTAAACATAAATATTTACTCTCACCTCATTCTAAGCACCCATACTGTGAAATCACAGGTCTGATGTTCTAATCATATTTTTAATAAACAGCAATATGAATACATACTAAGTAAAACAAAAAAGATTCACTTGGGTACCACTGGAAGTGGTGGCGTGCACAGACCTCTGAACACACTGATCTGAGATGTGTGCGGACCTTTGCACACCCTGATCTGCAACGTATGAATGGGGATGACGACCCTGGGAGCTACAGAGGCTCAGGATGGTCTCGGAGCTAGAGTCCACTTCAGGACTCTTGAAGGCTGAGCCCAAGGCTGGTTTCAGTTCTTGAAAGCCCACTGGCCAGGAAGCCACAGAGTGGGATCAACCAAAGAAATCCTGCGCAAAGGAGAAAACTAGCTTGGACTTGAGGATGAAACTGGCAAGAACCGACGGTGACTTGAGGGGGCTGCGGGCTGCGGGAGGAAGCCGAAGGGGCAGGGGTGGAACTAGCTTGGACTTGAGGATGAAACTGACAAGGGCCGACGGTGACTTGAGGGTGCTGCGGGCTGCGGGAGGAGGCCGAAGGGAGCAGGGGTGGGGCACCGGGCGAGCCGGAAGGCTGAGTCATGTCCCAGTCGCGTACGAGCCGGCGTGGACTGCGTCCTGCAGCTAACTCACCTGGGCCGCGTGCGCCCCCGCCCCATTCCCTGCACCGACCGCAGGGGCAGAGATGCTCTGGGACGGGTGGGGGAAGGGAAGCTAAAGAGCGGGGAAGCTCGGAGATTTGTTCGCCGGGCGGTTCGTGGAAGGGAAACTTCTCCGCACTTCCTGGGGGTGGTGGCAGCTGCAGGGGGAAGACTTTGAAATCAGCCCTTTGTTGGAGGATTTTCTCAGCCTTCACTCTTCATCCGGAGCTGAATGCCTCCCTGACAGCTGAGCGTCCTCAGTGCTTGAGAAAGGTAAGGCCAGGGTCAGGGAGGAAAAAAATCAGGGATCAGGAGAGGAAAAAAAAAAAATTTTTTTTTTTGGTATAAAAATAGCGCTTAGTGTTGAAAAAAAGTGGAAATTTCATAAAAGCACACATGAAAAACATCAGCTTTATGCCACCTCTACAGATAAATATTATAAATATTTTGATGTTTATTCTTTCAGCTCATATATGTTTAATATATATGTAGCTATGTTAAAAATAATTATATATTATGTATAATTATAGCATGTAATGATTTTAGAATAAGTGAAATCACACTGAATAAACACTTTTAGGACCTGATTTTTTCAGCACCTGAAAACTGTATTTTCTTTTACACCCTTATTTTTAATGGATTGTTGTTGTTCAGTTGCTGAATTGTATCCGACTCTTTTTGACCCCATGGACTGCAGCATACCAGGCTTCCCTGTCCTTCACTATTTCTTAGAGTTTGCTCAAACTCATGTCCATTGAGTTGATGATATAGTCATTTATTTAATTAATGTATCTATAAATTGATATTTAAGTTTCCAATTTTCCCCTATTATAAAATTTTCTGTAATAAGTGGTTTTTTAAATTGCAAAATCTTGGTTTTATTACCTTTGTCAAACCTAAAAATAAACAGCCAGTTATATTGCTAGCAAAAAAAAAGTTTGGGGCAAGAAAGCTATAGCAAAAGTCATAGGCAAGTCTGACAAAGGAGAGGAATATTACTTTGTAGAGCAAAAGGAGGCAGTTGGGAGGGGTTAATTTGAAGAAAGTCTTATAGGGGGAAAAGGAGAGTACAGGCTGGTGGGCACTTCCCATTGGCTGGGCTGGTTGCTGGGTGAGGAAAATTCTTCCTATTGGGGTCTGTAATTGATGTGGAGTGGTAGCATGTGAGAGTTCTCCCTTCTGGCCACCCAACTTCATTTAATTAAATTAATTAATTTAATAGCTTTTGGCCACACCACAGGGCATGTAGGATCTTGGTTCCCTGATCAGGGATCCAACCCATGCCTTGTAGTGGAAGTGGGGAGTCTTAACCACTGAACCACCAGGGAGGTCCCTCAGCTTCATTTTAAATGAGGTTTCCTGGGAATTCCCTGGCAGTCCAAAGGTTAGGACCCGAGTTTTTGCTGCTGAGGCCTTACAGGCCAGCCAAAAAACCCCCCAAAAAACAAAAAAAGAGGTTTCCTTTCTT